ATTTTCACGTATATCTTCTTCATTTTGTACATTCACAAGCGGGGATACCTTCTTCTCGAAGTCTACGAAATGATGCTGGAGAGATTGTGTGGACATGATGATATAATCGTTATCGTAACAACACGTTACATACCTAGTTTATGTTTCGAAAAATGTTTTCGTTATCAAATTGATACAAAAGTTAATTTGAGAACACTATCCAAATATGTCAAAATATTCATGGTGTTCTATCAGAAAAATTTTTCTAAGTACAGTTTTGAAGCTGTAGCCAAAAAAAATTTACTAGGTACAACTTTGGCCCATATGCAGGGTATTCTACAAGGTATATGACAAACTTTAACAGATGGTAGCTGCGTTAATCTCAAAATTTTTTTCTTTTATGAACACAGGTCCGATTCGTTTTTGTTTAGAAGTTATAAGCATTTTAAAAAATATAAGTTCATATTTCAATCAAAGTAGCCTGACAAATAAAAATGATGGTTGCTATAGCAATAATTATTTGTGTCACTTTGTTTATTCATTTGTCATTTATCGTTAAAGTGCTAAATAAAAAATGCATTTATTTACTACTGAAGATTATGCAGGTATTGTCTTTGTATATGGGCATTTCAATGGAAACCCCAGACATGCAGCCCGAGAATACCGACGAAGATATCCAAATAGACATCAACCTGCCCACACAGTCTTTAGTGTATCATTTCGTAGACTTCTCGAAGAAGGTAACTCCGCTCAAAAAAAAGGTTATTCGTTCTACTGATGTGAATGTACAAAATGAAGAAAATATAATAGATGCTGTCATTGACAACTCTTCAATTAATGTTTATTTATTACTGAATGGCGTGTATCGAATAAAGAAATGTTACATCAGTTTCATCGTCAAAATGTACAAGCGTTACATGCTGAAAATGCTCCTCACAATCAGCGATAATAATTTTGTCTCTGGTTACTTCAATAACATGCACAAAATGATAGACTCATTTTTCTTTTCACGTGGTCTGATGAAGCCTGTTTTACTAGGGACGGCATAAATAGTAATCATAATGAACAGATCTGTAGTTACAAAATCCGCGTGCAATTAGATCAAGACGATTTCAGTAATGTTTCAGTGTCACGTTTGGAGTAGCATTTTCAACAAGAATTTACTGATCGTTTAAATGCAGAATGTATAGAACTATCTTGGAAAACAACCTTTTTGATTTCATTGATGGCGTAGGGCTTAATATTGTTCAAAATATGTGACATCAGCACGATGGTGCCCCACCACATAGAGGGACACAAGTAACTGCTTGCATAAATGATCATTTTCTGAGTAAATGGATAGGTCAACAAGGTCCAATAGCATGGCCACCGCGTTTCCTAGAACTAAATCCTTTGGACTTTTATTTATGGGGACATATGAAGCAGCTTATCTGCCCTGTTGAAATCACTACCGGTTAGCAGTTACTTGATAGAATTCAGGATACAGCTAACCAGATAACAAATGACCCAAATCTCATCCGTCGAGTGACGAATTAGTTCGCCGATATGAATCTTGCATTCGAGCCGAGGGTGGACATTTTGAACAATTTTTGTAGCCTTAAGATTTGTTAACTTAGTTAATCAAGGTTGACTAATGTTTAAACTTTAAAAAACAAATAATAATTATTGTGATAGCATCCATCATTTTTATTTATTAGGTTACTTTGACTGAAACATGAAATTATATTTTTTTAAATGCTTGCAACTTCTAAACAAAAACGAATCGGAGCTATGTTCATATAAGAAAAAATGTTTGAAATTAGACCAACAACCATCTTTCAAAGTTTATCATAGAGCTTATAGAACATCCTGTATAAGATAAGGGGGATAACACTGATTCATAAATTTATCTCGACAAATGACAAAGAATTTCGTAATCTGGTGCCTCATTCAAGAACAATTCTGTCGTTTTGGATCTAATTGTAAGTCCCTGATTTTGTTTCCTGAGATGCAAAGCTAGTTTAGAAAATGTTCTTATATTCAGATTATCTCATTTTTTTAGCACAGAATACATTCACAAAGAATTTGACTTATATCTTGTTATGTTTTAAAAGTAAGTTAAAAATATCTGTTTTTTATATACCTACATTGTACAAAGTTTTCTTGACAGCAATTCGTAAACAGTGCGTATTTCTCATATCTGTGTCTAGATTTGGCAAGCAATAAACCCAAATTAGGTTTCTAATTAAGGTGGTATTCGTCAGAATTGTCCATTTTGAAATAGTTTTTATTTCAATTAAACATCGTGGCTTTAAACATATTACTCTTTGACTTATTTATTGTTAAACAGCTTAAAATGAGAAATGTCAAAATGTGGCAAAATGGCTACATGATTGTTTGAGTTTTAAAGTTCAAAAGGGTTGGTGTTAACAAAAATTGCGGTTCTTGTTGTGTATACTCAAGTAAAAATTAAAACAATTTATAACTAAATACGGAAAGTCTATAGTTTATAGAATAGTACAAAAAAAAGAAAAATAGATGCAGATTTGGATAAATCTAGCATATGTTATCTTTTCTGAAAGAGAACAAAACAAAAAGAGAACAAAGATATGAAATTTAAGTTGTACTTCCTATTAAGAGATGGCACAATTAACCCATAGTATGTAAAAGATATCTAGGAACTTTAAAGGGCAATGAGCGATAATCCCGCTCGACCCCGCCCCATCCGAAGTCATTTTTCCTGCCAAGGATATTGCCGCGATTAACTTCAGTAGCCTATACAATGAAGTCTATGGCCTCTTCCGTCACAACTAACTGCCATACAGCTGTATTCAGTATCTAATAGGTTAAAATTAACCATCCCGTTAAAATATTAATTTTAACCCTACCGCTAAAAATAATAACTCCAATTTGTAGTGCGATTATAACGTTTATAAATAATAGAGATCAAAGAATAATACCTCACCAGGTCCTGATGAAATATCAGTTTATTTAATAAAAAGACATCATTTATATATCTTAAATCCGTTATGTCATATTCTTAATCTTTGTTTTTTGAAGGGAAGTATACCTAAAGCCTTTAAAGAAGTCAATACAACACACCTTGTTACAAATCCGGAGAAAAAAAAATTACAACTAATTATAGGCCAATTTCTATTATAAATAATTTTGCAAAAATCTTTGAAAAATGCTTAAAAAGTCGATTAGTAAATTATATTCAGAAAAACAGTATCCTTTCAAATTTTAATTTTGGATTTAGAGAAAACTTATCAACTGAGAATGCTGTGTTTGAGCTTGCTAATTCTGCTGTAAATAATTTTAATGAACAAAAGAAATGTATAGTAGTATTTTTGGACTTAGCTAAGGCGTTTGATACTGTTAGTCATGAGTATTTATTAAAAAGGTTAGAGAAAATCGGAATTAGAGGTATTGCATGGAAAATATTTAAGGACTAGTTGACAGATAGAAAGCAAATTGTTAAAATTAACAACACTTTCAGCGATAGTTTAACACTTAACATGGGCGTCCCTCAAGGAACTGTTTTAGGACTTATATTATTTTTAATATATATAAATAATATTTTTAATTTGATTAATATGACCGGTCAACTAATTTCTTATGCTGATGATACGGCAATTATTTTTTCTGGTGACACCTGGAAAGATGTATATGACACAGCTGAAAGTGATATTCAAATCATATATAACTGGCTTAATAATAGTTTATTAAGATTAAATATTGATAAAACTAAATTTATATCATTTAGTCCAACATCTAGGGACCAATCTTGTAGAGATATAATCATCGTTCATAAATTAATATGCAGTAAAACATTAAATAAATGTAATTGTCCTATTATAAAAAGAACAAATAAAATAAAATACTTAGGTGTAGGCATATATTGTAAAGCGATTAAGAGGATATAAATTCTATCAGATAAGAAATATTTTAAATAAAAAAAACATGTTGATGGTCTATGATGCTTTAGCTGAATCTGTTGTTAGATACTGTATTACTGTGTGGGATGGTTTGTATGAATGTCATTTGCGGATGCTACAAGTAACACAGAATACATTAGTGAAAATATTATTCAAAAAAGAAAGGCGGTATTCTACGGAATTATTGTATATGGAAAGTGGCTTGTTTGCAATTAGAAAGTTATATACATATACTTACCAATGTTTGTTAAAAGTTATGTCAACAGCAGTAACCTTCATAAATCATGGATATAACACCATGACATTAAATAATGATAATATATAAGTGCCACTATGTAGAATATCACATACACAAAGATTTTTTTCATATTTCGGCCCTATTGTTCAATCTATTACCTAAAGAAGTAAAAAATACATCAAATATTAAACTCGTAAAAAAAACTAAAAGAATATATAAAAAAATTACGATAAACTTAAAGTGGTTTATGACATATAAATAACAAAATAGATTACTTACTAGCTACTAAAAAATAATTTGTTAATCTCTCATCACTGCTCTAATATTGTATTATATTGTAGTGGGTTATTTTATACATATTTGAGATGTATACACAGAACCAGCTAAGCTTAGGTGACTCATCTCAATATGAAATATTACTACGCAGTTGATTGATTATTTGTTTGGTTTAGGTTATATACATGTACATATGTATTATTATATGTGTCCTATGTTTGTAATAAATTGCATAAATTGAAAAAAAATTATACCATTTGACAAGCCAGGTTAAATTTTAACAGCATATATGTATTTTGGTCCCGCTAAATTTTAACATATTTGGTTAAACTAGTAAAAGTTAAACAGTATTGGGTTAAACAGTGGAAGGTTAAAATTGTAACTGTGTCCTTGGCATTAAAATTTAACCAAAAGCGTTACAAAATAGACCCTATATTCGGTTTACTTTTATATTTTTTAAACTTTTCTCATATAAAAAATCGCGGGTTACGCCTTCTTCCGCGTTACTTTATTGTACGGCAGTATCAGTATTTATACTATGAAAGAAAATATATTTATACCGTACTGATAATTGTTTCATTTTGTTGCAGGTCTGGTTCCAAAACCGTCGCGCAAAATGGCGCAAGCAAGAGAAAGTTGGACCTTCCGGCCACCCTTACACGCCTTATCTGAACCCCTCGGCGGCCGGCCCAGTGCCCTCCGTAGTAGCCCCAACGCTCCCGAATCCCTTTAACTTACCCTTCGGTCTTCGCAAGCCGTTCGACTCTCTCACGTTCCGGTATCCCCACCACGTTCTTCCCGGATATCTTCCCTCGCCACCCTCTTATCACAGGGGAGGACCACCCCTGCTACCGCCTTCCATGGGACTGTATCCCTCCGCTAACTCATTCCAAACTCTCCTGGCGAACATATCCGCCGCTCAGAGGCCCAAGCAAGAGTTCACCGCCTCACCTCCGTTGTCTCCAGGGTCGTCCTCCTCGGGGGTCACGCCGCCGGACGTGGACAGGAGAAGTTCCAGCATCGCTTCTTTGAGACTAAAGGCAAGGGAACACGAACTTAGACTAGAAATGCTCAGGCAAAACGGTGATTTGATTAGTTGAATGGTTTTAGTGGGAGCATAGTTTAGGGGACGTTTTGTTGTTTCTTTATTTGAGAAGCAGTGTTGAGTACTATTGATTTGTATTTGTTGTTTTGTTATTTACTTAAATGTGGCCAACATCCAGTTTGTTTCATATTGTTGAATATTTATAACCGGTAAAATTACATAGCCGTAATGTTATTTCATATTCTTGCAGCGTACGAAATAATAATTGTTAACTTTCGACTCATTACTGTAATTGTAAAAAATTATACTTTTATAAAAAGCAAGATGAAGAAAAAATATTTTGTAATAGGGTCGTTTCCATAGGATGTAAAATATAGAAAATTCAAAATAATGTCATTTTTGATTGACGCTAAATAACATATTTTCTTTTCACACCTCAAAAAAAAAAGAGCTAAATTGTTGATCGGTCGTCTCGCCTATTGCATAATGATGATAACTAATAAGTTCTGAACTGGTTCAATTCTGCTGAAGCTGCTGATGGGGCATATAGCTAGTAAAGTACTTGTTTTCCACAACGTCATTGGTGCTACGTTCTACGCATACAGCAAAGTAAGGTGTTGTACCGCTGCGGTAACAGAATTGCGTTTCCAAAATGTATGAATTGTTCTATAAGCAAATTTTAAGAAAATGTTCCTCGGGTTAAAATAAGCAAAAAGGTTTATATATGCCTAAGTACGGAAAAGCACGGTATCAATTAAAAAAAAAACATTTTTCTAAAATGTTTAGAAATGGGTAATGATGGCTCACAAAATGTTATGGCGATTTAGACTATTTAGTACTCACCTACATTTTATCAGATAACCATGTTAGTAATTCTGCATTTCAGTTACCAGTGGCGTAAATATGAGGTGTTAGAGTTGTTTCAAAATCTTATGAGCTTTGATCTTCATGTGCGCAGAAACATAATCCCGACCGTCGGCGTCGTCTAAATTATTCTACATCCTAAAAACATTACATCTATTATTCACAGTCTATCTCGAGCTCTCGTAGCGTAAATAAGCCTTTGAGCCGATTACAATCATAATAAAATGCCCTATTCTTTATTATTTTAATTTAAGCAATAAAAATATATCTATAACGAACGTTCGCCACTTGACTTTATTGATGCCCGCGCGCCTTAGTTCATGGTTGTAATGAGGCACGTGATCTAATTCAGAGTCAATGTTTTCACAACGTACTTATTAGAAGAATTATGAGGATACGCCACGCTATTCGCGCATTTCGCGACTCTTGAGGTTTTGAAACTACTCTAAATCCTTTTTTGAAACGTAATTTCTACGCCTATGGCATTAAAAAAATATTTATGTATATTTGATTACTCTTCCAAATTTTTCTAAATTTCTAGATTTTGCAGTAAATTGAATAAAAATTAATATAATCATTATCGTTTAAATAATGATTGTAATTAATATGTCTATCTGTTTTCCAACTAAAACTGAATGAGGTTGATATACAAAAATAATAAACAAATAAACATAAAAAATATTTAAACATAGTTTAACATTGTTATTATCTCAAATAAATTAGAAAATAGAATAGAAAACTTTGAGGAACGTACATTTTCTAAATGTCCATACTAGATTCAGAACATACCCGTACTCTTTTTTTTTAAGGAATATATATTTTTTACGTATTTAAAAATTATTGTTTCTAGTTTCATTTGCAACTTCGTTAAACATGACTTTTAAGAAAAAAATAACACAAAACTTCCATCCGTACCATAATTACTTAATCTTACATAAATATATTGCAATAATTAATATATCCTGAGTGTTACAAATTAGTAGGACAGCTCGTTAACCACATATTCTATGTACTAAAATAGGACTCTTCTTATGTCACTTTTAATTTCAGAGCCCCATTTTCAAAATACAAGGTGTCAAAATTAAAATTTAATTGTAGAAATAGGTGTTTATTTGAAATTTAGCACATATTTTGATCTTAAGTCGGCACACTTGTGTAATTTTGGTTTAAAATATCAAAGCGCAAACGGAGGGTAGGGGATTGCAGTACTCATGGACCCCCTATTTTTTTTGAGTATGCTTTCCGAATACTTTTTTTACATAAAGCAGCGTTTTATTCAATTTTTTTTAGTCTTGAAAGATTTTGATTTTGGGCCTTGTTTACGAGATATTGTAATTTTTTGGATACGCGACATCGATTTAGTCGACGTTAAACTTTATTTTTTGGGGTTATATGAAAGATTTGAGTTATTTATTTCAATTTACTGAATAAAATGGAATGATCTTCATCATGATATTCATCAGATATTGATCAGCGATATTTAATTTGAGCTAAATCTAACATATCTAAAAGTTGTAATATTTCGTACAGTAACCTCAAATCAAAACATGTGGTTTCAGTTTGAAGTGTTCTTTACCTCGAACAATTCATTTCTTTAACTGTTATTTAGTTAGTATTGGTGCCATATAAAAGACAATTTTCATAAAATCCCAAAAATTAAAGTTTAACGTCGCGTCGGCTAAATTAATGTCGCATATCCAAAAAAGTTATCTACAATAGCTCGTAAACTAAGTCTCAAATTACAATCTTACAAGAGTGAAAAAAATTGGAAAAACGCCACTTTATCTTAAAAGAAATGTGCAACCCCCTCCCCTCTGTTCGCGCTTTGATATTTTAAATCAAAATGTGTGCCGAATTAAGATCAAAATATTTGCCAAATTTCAAATAAATATCTCTACAATCACCGGAGTTATCAATTAAAATAATTTTTTTTTAAATTTAATTTAGACAGTTTGGTCAAATTAATCTTGTCTGCAAGTTTCAGCAATTAATCATTGTTTCTTTAGAATAATATATCACAAATAAAAATATAACAGATTATTTTAAAACTACTGACAGTTCACATGACATGACATTAGAGCAAAAATTTTTCGGCTTTTCGCTTTCTTTATATAAAAATAGAAAATAGTATTTGTGTTTCTCCAAAATGGAAAATAGACCGCAACACTAATTTTGTTAACCAAAAACTTTCACCTAGGATAAAACATGCAAAAATGCTACAAAATAACCAATTTATTATTAATTTGTCATTAACAATTATTAATCTAATAAAAAAAAAACATAAATTTCTTAACAGACTTTAAGACTGGATGATGTACTGCAGTGATTTTAATAAGTTAAAATTGAATTATAACATATACATATTTCAAGGTTTTTTGAATATTATACAAAAAACACCTAACCTAATCTAACCTAACTTTATGTAGAGAATTCTATGTATCGTATATAAAAAACAACCTAATATAACTTTATGTAGGAATTTATCTCAAGAAACACTCAAATAGCTATAGGAAAATTGACTCAGAAATATGGAAAAGATAACTCTGATAATAAAATCACTGTTTAAATGTACCTGTACGTAGCAGGTATTACTAACCTTTGACGTAAATAAACAACATTGTAAAGGAAACAGTTATACAGTCCATTTAATGAGTTCCCAAAAACTGAGTTCCTCTTATTTGATTGTTTATTACCAACCTGAATTTAGTATGACTATTTTGTCGTAAATGTTTTTTTTTATGAAAATATAAATGTTTTTCAAGATACGCGTCTAAACTATAAATAGAAAAAACTTATCTTTAGCACATAATTACGATTGGTTTTTGGAAAATATTGATTTGCCAAAAAATCTTTTACTAAATATTTACGCTTACTAGGTATAACTATTGTACTAATTAGCAGCAGAAAGAAAATAACCAATAACAAAGAAGTATCTAAAAGTCAGTCATGTTAACGTAATATGTATAGTATTGCATTGGCTGACTGGTCAGAAAACATTGTTTGGAAAAGCCAGTATAATATTGTACTTAAAGTAAATGGTTCTTAATTAACAACATTTTAAGGTACGCGCATTCATAAAAACACTGCATATGTAATAAATTTTTATCTTTCCTCAGTTAAATCGTCAGCTTAAGCGTTTCCTTCTATACGTATCCATCTTCAGGCGTGGAAAAGAATGAACTGTTCCTTATACCGCTCTTATCGCTTCCTTTTCAGCAGTTCCGTAAATCTAACAAACAGATGTGTACATCCCATGAATAAAGCGCAACGACGCCGCACCTTACTTTGCGTCATGTGCGCAATTGGCCTTAAACTGTTATTTTTCTGACATTCCATCACAATGGCACTTTTTACTTTTACTGAAAACAATATTTCCTTAAATTAATACAACCCGTCATTTGAAATAACATTTTAATGAATTCGTTAACAGTGCAATATAATTTACTGTCAGTAAACTATATAATGGAGGTAGAATTATGGGTAGTGGCGTTTTGAAAGTTGAATCCACTTTAAGTTCATGCAGCCCTTTTTTCTACGTTAAAAATAGAATTATCTGAGCGATTTTCTTTTGCAGATTCAACCAAACACAGATCTGCATTACTTCCAGTGGCTTCAACTTCAAAATTTGTATTTCATAAGATCTACATAACAATGTACGTCTTATTGCTCATGGATTCTTCTATGTTTGCTACACTGCTCGCCTTCCACTCTCTGATGTTTGCCTCAAATAATGTCCTGCATGTTCCTTCTAGTTTATCAGTTTCAAATAAAACGCTACCTGTCTAGGTACAGAACCGATTTTATGAATCTCCATTGCCGACGGCCAATAGCTCCAATATGTATTATAGACTACATCAAATGACGTACTGCATCCTAGAAATTATTGGGTATTACAAACGTTAACACTTAAAATATAGTATTACTTACAAAATCTATAAGAAAACACAGTCAAAGGAAATAGTAACTTCCACCAGTACTTCATTTTCTGTAGCCCATCGTTTGATTTTGTTTAGTAGAGTTGTCTATGACATTGTTAACAAGGCTGAGCAAAGCAAGTTAATAACCCCTGTTTTATATTTACCAATTGTTACTGATCCAATAAATTGTCATAATTTGTGGCAAGTTATTGCAAGTTACAATAAACTAGTTTATTAAATATATGTTTTAAATATTTAAAATAAAAACATGTTAAAATTATAAAATGCTAAACTAAAATTGATATTATTGAATAAATATTAATAAAATCCGTACTGTATTTGTTGGGATAGAATTTCAAACCCGTTCTTGGAATTAACCGCATTCGACACCAGAGGTGAAAAGACATTGGCGGAAAATTTCAACGCACGCCCCTGCTGCTGTAAATTGTTACAGTAGTTCCGATAATAGAACTTTATTGGCTTATTCTTTTCTTGAAATTCTATCTCAACAAAT